TTTGATTTTATGTCTAAATAAATTGCTTAAATATTTGTTCAAGCCATTTTTGAATTTTCATCTATTTTTTGCTCCCTATCGAGCAAAGAAAAATAAAAACCTTATACAAATAAAAGAAAAGAGAAAAAATATATAAATTTTAAGAGGTTTGTGTAAAATGCTGAGACACCTAAGAATTTATAACGTCTACACTGGTTAGTTATGACAACTTCTGGGAAGGGTGTGTTGATGACTTCGTTCGAGGGGATGAGGACTACCACTGTTAATGCCTAAAGTCGTTATTGTTAATATCTGGTTTTGAAAACACAATGGGAGAGAGATTAAAAGTTCAAGTTCATTTAATTTGTTGCCTGGCAGGAACGAACAAACAAACTAAAAAAAAAATGGTCTAAAATACCGAAAAGTAGAAAACATTAAAGGGGACTATAAAAAATATTCAAGAAACATGTGGTCACACAAAATGGGGGGTGGTTTAAAAATAACTGGAATGATAAGGGATTGAATTTAATCAAACCAAAGAGTGATACTCTTATTGTGTGGGACATAAATATCTCTATATCGAAATAAAGACATTTATCGGTTGACCAAAGTACATACTCAGCAATATTTGTTGTGAATGAGAATATCGGAGTTTCATTAGTTGAAAATTTCCTCCCAATAACTCTAAACGACCCCCTTTGAAATCACCTCCGTAAAATATCATCAACAGCTGATGCCATTTACAATTATGGCAAAATGAGTGAACCGCAAAGAAAAGCAAAAAAAAAAAAAAAGAAACACCAACAGAAAAAATTCTGGCACGACTACCATCTATTCATTCATTCGTTGGCTCTTTCATAATGGAGTTGGGGTCATAATTGGGTATTTTGAAAATGAAAAAAAAAAAAAAAACACACACTCACACAACAGTTTTGAATGCGCGTTCTTATGTCCATGACGTTGATTTATGTTTATGCTGCATGTAGCAGCAGCGGTAGCAGCACAAACGGAATATTCATAGAGAATCTCTTCCTACTGCTGACGTTGTTGCCGTAGAGGTTATTTTATCGAATGGATAGTAAAGCGAATGATTGGAGTCTAAGCAGGCGGAAACGGAAATACCTTAACAGTCGTGCAAAATAACAAAATACCAATCTGCAAGTGAATACACGTGAATTCATCAACCTCACGGAAATAACCAAAACCAAATAAAGATTAGTTACTTCGTTAGGTAGAACACAGTGGGACAATTCAAAAACGTATTTCAAACAACAAACAATTTAAAACAAGTTATAGCGAATGGGACGAGTTCCCAGGCAGCGGACATTCCATCTTCGTATATCATTTAATTTTGGTATTGATAATGCAAGGTCAGGAGTATGAAGAATTTACATTTTATTATTATAGGTAAGGTATTGGGGAATATAGGTCTATTTTCGAAACAGATCAAAATTCGATCATAATTCATTTATCATTTACGAAGTACGAATTTCTGACGAAAACGTCGACACCGTTTGCGCTTTGTGATTTATGATTTTGGAAAAATCTTAGAGCTGGAGGGGAATTATCAGAAACAGTGATGGGGAGCATAGGCATCCCATCTTCACACAATATTTAATATTGACATCAAGCAAAAATTTGGTATCAGAATCATTTTAAAGGCTTCTAAAAAATCTCATAACCGCCAAAGGAAGGTCAAAAGTCGGACGAGACTGACTATACAGGTTGAGATGAAAAAACTGCAACCAACTTCAGACTGCTGTCATTTCCAAGCCACTCGTCCCACACCTGTTAAAATTATTCCAATGACAGCTCATTATATTGTTTACAAGCGTACAAAAGCATTTTGGTAAGAATTTTCTAGAAAACAAGTTATTCCTGATGAAAATCAAGCGTGATAGTGCGATTTCGTTATATTTGGCTGGGAAACCACAAGTGGCTATCGTTAGAGCACTCCAGCTTTTGTGTCTCGTACCATCGCTCGTTACTGTGATACTGGTAGCGTAGTCCGACGTTAAGGAAGTGGACGGAAGAAAACAGCAACATCAGCAGAAATGGTTCAAAAAGTAAAGAAGCGACTTGACTCGCAATGACTGAAAAATGTCTTGTGAGTTGAGCATATCGAAATATTCCATTCGGCAAATATTGAAAAAAAAAAAACACTGAAATTCCAAAAACTTACAAGGCAACCGAAAGAAAATAGACCCAAAGGGTTGCTTAGCTTGGCCGAAATTGGGAACTGCCGAATTTGGTAAAACCACTGAAATTCCAAAAACTTACAACACAACCGAAAGAAAATAGACTCAAAAGAGTTAAAGGGTTGCTTAGCTTGGCCGAAATTGGGAACTGCCGAATTTGGATTTCTCCTATGAGAAAACATTCGTTGTCCAGAAGTTTGTAAACAAAAAAAAAATAATCGTGTTTACTTGCCAAAAAGGTCAGCTGAAAATGTGCACCTTCGGTTGGCCACCAGAACTCAAGCGCCCACCATGGTGATGGTGTGGGCCGCCATAACAGCCGATTGTCGCTCTCCGCTCGTATTAATCGACCGTGGCATCAGAATAAATTCCGAATATTATCGCGAATTTTCCAACAGGAACATTCCAACAGGACTCAACCATCGCACTCAGCACGCCCCCCAATAATAGTAACAAAATGATGCTCCTCGCTTCATTTTCAGCGCACAATGGCCACCAAAATCTCCGTATACCATTCTGGAGTCTGTAGTATTTTGGAAAGCAAGTTTGGCACTAAAAAATACCAAAGTGTCGATCATCTCAAGCAAGCGCTTTGCCGGGAATGACCAAAATACAGCAGAGCAACATTCGTGCAGCGTGTGACGGTTTCATTGGCCGTTTGAAGGCCATAATTCGTGCAAAGGGTGATCAATTCGAACAAATCTAAACTTATTCTAAAATTTGTTGTTATTTCCGACATGTTTTGCTTTCATTGAATAAAATTAAAAAAACAAGTAAGCAAAGGCTATAGTCGTGCGGGGCCGTCCATGTGATACCCTGCAACACTACAACATGTTAGAAGTCCTATGTCAAAATCCAATTTGGAAGATTTCGCTTTTGAAATTATGTCACGGAGCACTGCCCAGATATTACCCATAGCATTTTGACCCAATATTTGCGCACTCGTTGTGCTTTTAGCTGTCGTGGTTCATTTCACAGCTAAATATGGTCATCCAAAATGCTAGAATTCTTCCCTGTCCTTAACTCTGTTCTCAGGCGTGTCGATTGGCTTCAATTGTGTGATAAGGAATTTTTGTTCATTTTTGGTTCATTTGAACCCCCAAAATATTTTGCGATCATCTCCAAAAGCAAGAGGAGAGGATGGTTTGCTACGATATTTGGCTATATCGCCTGTGAGTAATCCTGGTATTTTTTTCACACAAAAGTAGTGGTCCATTCTACCCGCTGTCCTAAACTCTAATTTCATGCGAGAATTCATGTTCCTTGGTTTCTATTTGTGAATTCTAAATATATTGCGGACATCTTTGAAAACAGTGGACCTAGCCCTTCTGAGCCTTACCCTACCTTTGTGAAAATTTCGTGAAAATCGGACGATAATTGTGAAAAAATATTACAAAATGTACACTTCAATATTTTAAGTCAAATTAAAAAAATCGCATGCGATAAAAAATATGAAAAAATAAAAATAAAATAAAATAAAAAAATACTACAAAATGAATATTAACACCATTATAGGCGTCTTTTTATGTGATTTTTTAGATTTTATACTTTTATGCAAAGAGGGCATTCTGAATTCACAACATTTGCCAAAATCGGTCCAGCCATTCTTGAGACATAAGCATTCTAGCTAACATCCCCTCCTTTTGTATATACACATTGTATATATTTCGCTATATATATCCGATGTATTTACTATCGGCATCGACGTAATGGTCAGAATTGAGCTGTTCGTCTATTTCTGATTTCTCCGGGATTAAAAACATTCGCGGTTAATGGAAAATTTGACTTTTATTTAACACAAATGTTATGGTCTATTTCACCCACTAAATATTACCCGATGACCATGAAAATTGGAAGACTTCTGCCCCGCCCTAAGCCCTAGCGCCGTGCGAACTTCCGCTTCGATTGGTATATAATTGCGACCTGTAGAGCAACTGCAAAATCAGGAAATTTTTCAGTTTTTGGTCCATTTCAACCAATAAATATTATGCGATCATCTCCATCCTGTAGAGTGATTACAAATTAACATGGACAGACGGACGGACGTACATAGCTAGATCGACTCAGCTCGGCGAGATAGGAAGATCCATATATACTTTCCTATGTGGGAAACCAATATTTCGACAAAATACGAAAATGTCCATTCCAGTGACTTTTTGGAGAATTCACAAATACAGGAAAGACGCACTTCTGACTATTTCGTTAACGCTGATTTCGTTGAAGAATATAGTCAAATGTGAAGAATATAGTCAAACCTGATGGTTTTCTTTTATTATTTGTCACAATATCTTGTGGAATTCTTTAGAGTATCTCGCCTATATAAACTGTATCATTTATTATAGTGTTGTAGGGTATTCAACCCCGCTCGATTGTAGCCTTTGCTTACTTGTTTTTTATCTCACCCTGTATATTCATTCATATATGATATGTTATATTAATGATTGACTGTATATTTTTATTCCTAAACATTGGCTCGGCTCTTGGAAAAATATCTAAAATTAGTCTTTTTAAATTGTATTTTAATTATTAATACATTTTGTAAGCCCACTGTGCACGAATACATGTTTTTGCTGTTGATTTTTTGGGATTTCGATCAAGTTGAACCCTCTAAAAATCTCGCACGCTATCTGCAAATTATTCCGAAAAAGAACACAAAAGGTTCTCAAGTTCTATCAGACTATCGGGTTGTCTGGCCCTCTAAACCTTTGCTTCGCCACACATAGTTTCCCTTTACATTTCAAAATGGGATTTTTCTTATTTGTTTCTTTATTCGCATATCAAAAGAAAAAAATCGAAAGTAAAAGCATCCACCCATAAACTCACCTGATAAAGCATAGCCGGACACGAACAACCATAGGCAATGCGATGAAGAATGGTTACAGCTGCTTTCAGGGATTTAGTTGGTATTTTCTCCCAATCAGTTAGAACCACAACACAGGCACGAACTATTTTCGGATTCAATAATCTGTAAGTAGAGGTAAAAGAACATCACATCACATGAATGAATTGGAAATCTATAAATCCAGCAGAAAAAATGAGAAGCTAAAAAATCAAAGCATACAAACGTTATGAAATTCAATAGATTGGTTATTAATCATTTTAAGTAGTTGTGTTGGTTGGTTGGTTGCCATAACGCATTTGGGTGGCTGTGAATATATTTTCGAACGAACATTCAAAGATGCAAAGATGAATGTTTTCCGCGCGTAAAAATATGCAATTTTCAAAATGTGAAAATAAATTCTAAGGAAGTGAGCCACACAAAAAGAGCGTGGCTCTTTTGATGTATGGCTGTTTTGAATGAAATAGAAGATTTGAGATATTTAATTTATGAAGGAATAAATGCAACAAAATATGATGTCCATTTTTCTCGATGCTCACGTCTGCGAAACATACACAGTGAAAGCTTTTGTATTGGTAGTGATTGGCTAGCCCTGGTTTGAAGGTATAAAAACATTTTATTTGCATAGCCTTCGTATAGCCACTTCCCACTTTTTGGGAGGTTAACTTTAAGGAAGTTTAGTAATACCTTGAATTCACCGGTTTCTTTAAAAGCGTACAAGTTTTTGCTATTATGTAACATGTAGTTGTACTATAGTTTAAATTATATATTTATACTCTTTAGAATGGCTCGATCACACCGAAATTTTATATGTTTTTGGGGTTAGAAAACAGGGTGAGATAAAAAAACTGCAACCAACTTTAGACTGCTGTCATTTCTAAGCCATTCGTCAGACAGCTGTTAAAATTATTCCAGTGACAGCTCATTATATTGTTTACAAGCGTACAAAAGCATTTTGGTAAGAAATTTTCAGAAAAAAAATTATTCGTGATGGAATTCAAGCGTGATAGTGTGAATTCTTTATATTTCGCTGGAAAACTACATGTGGCTATCGTTAGTGCACTCCAGCATTTAAATGTGAATAAATCTTTTGTGTCTCGTACCATCGCTCGTTACCGTAATTCTGGTAGCGTAGCCTGACGTCAAAGAAGTGAACGGAAGAAAACAGCAACATTAGCAGAAATGGTTCGAAACGTAAAGAAGCGAGTTGCAGTTCTCTATCTCACCCTGTGTATCGTGAATTATCAGTCACAGGTCACATTTGTCAACCAGTTTGTGGATTAATATTAAGGACCGGTCAAAGGCGTACCAAAGTAACACCTTTTACATGACTACATGACTTTAGTTTAAAAATGAAGTGGGCCAAAAATATACATATGCATCAAAAACGTAAAATGTACCTCTAGTTACAAAAGATTCCTGGAAAATATAGGTTTCAGATTCATAGAGATTGTCCGAATGGAGGAACTAATACCGACGTTATAACAATATGACAATATTATCTATGTATAAAAATCAAAATTAGTTCGTTGGTATTGAATCAGCTGAGAATGGATGGACTGATTTGGATAATCTTTCTTCAAAACTAGGTTTTTACGGAAAGAAAATTTGACTTGGCCCACTTTTTTTGATACGTCCAATATCGATAAAATAAGGGAAATATTGGTTTGAAAATGAGGTTCCTCGCTTCATTTCCAGTGCACAATGGCCACCAAAATCTCCGGATACCAATCCGTTGGACTATTGTGTCTGGAGTATTTTGGTTGGCACTAAAAAATACCAAAGTGTCGCTCACCTCAAGCTAGCGCTTCCCCGGGAATGGGCCAAAATACCGCAGAGCAACATTCAGGCAGCGTGTGACGGTTTCATTGGCCATTTGAAGGCCATAATTCGTGCCAAAGATGACAATTCGAACAAATCTAAACTTATTCTAAAATTTGGAGCTATTTCCGACATTTTTTGCTTTCACTCAAAAAAATTAAAAAAAAAAAAAAATGAAAAAATTATGGCGTTTGACTTTGTTGCAGTTTTTTATCTCACCCTGTCCAATATGCTAGAAGCCCCCTTATCTCCAAATCCATTTTGGAAGATTTCGCCTTTTGTAATTAAATTTAAGAGCACTGCCCAGATATTACCCTTATCTTTTTGACCAGGGACATTTGCCTAATATTTACGCACTCCTTCGTGCTGTTAGTTTTTGTGGTCCGTTTTTTTTTCTTATTTGGCTCTGTCCTATTCTCCTGCAAAATTCTGTCTCGATTAGTTTCAATTGTGTAATCAAGAAAAATTTTCTGTTTTTGGCTCATTTGAAGCTCTAAATTTTTGCGATCATCTCAAAAAGCGAAGCAAATCTTTGCTTGTCTACGATATTTGGCTATATTCGTCAACGAAATCAGCGTAAAAAGCCAGAAGTTCGTTTTTGGTGTATTTTGGATTCCTCCTGTAAGTTATTTTCAGCTTTTCGGTAGATTCGAAATGTTGATATTGTTTTTACACAAAAGAAGTGGTTCCTCTGCCGTAAACTCTAACTTCATACGAGATTTCGTGTCCTTTGGTTTCTATTTGTGACCTTTATAACGACTGCAAATCAGGAACACTTTTAGTTGTTGGTCCATTTCAACCCCTAAATATATTGCGGACAACTTTGAAAACAATAGGCCTAGTCCTTCTGAGCTTAACCCTACCCTTATGAAAATGTTCCTGAGAATCGGACGATAATTGCAATCTGTATCTACTAACCCCAAGCTATGATGTAAGGTGAAAATATATTACAGAATTGAAAAAAATCGCATGCGAGAAGAAATATGAAAACAATAAAAAAAAAAATATTACAAAATCTATACTAGCATCATTATTGACATCTTTGTGTGCTATTTTTTTCAGATTTTATTCTTTTATGCCAAGAGGGCATTCTGCATTGACAAAATTTGTCAAAATCGGTTCAGTCATTCTTGAGATATTAGCATTCTAGCTAACATCCCTTTCCTTTGTATAAACACATGGTATATACTTCGCTATATATATCCGATATATTTACTATCGGCATCTACGTAACGCTCAAAATTGACCTTTTCGTCTATCTGTGCTATCGCCGGGATTAAAAATATTCGCGTTTTAATGGAAAATTTGACTTGTATTTAACAAAAATTTTATGGTCTATTTCACTCAGTAAATATTTCCCGATCACCCTTCAAATTAGAAGGCTTCTTTCCAGCCCTAAGCTCTACGCTCATGCTAACTTTCGCGTCGATTGGTCCATAACTATGGTCTGTAGAGAAACTGCAAAATCAGGAAATTTTTCAGTTTTTGGTCCTTTTTAACACCTGAATTTTTTGCGATAATGTGATAAAGGCAATAGGCTTCTATTCTGATCATAACCCCACCTCCATGTGAAATTTCGTGATGATCGGGCCATAATTGAGTTATTACAAATTAACATGGCCAGACGGACGGACGGACCTACATAGCTAAATCCACTCAGCTCGGCGAGATAGGAAGATATATATACACTTTCCTATGTGGGAAACCTATATTTCGGTGTGCCCAATTAAACTTATTACGCCCCCAACACATAGTATTGTAGGTATAATGACATGAGAATTACACCCATCAACGCTGCTCATTTCAAATCTAATAATTAATACATTAGAAGTAGCCTTTTCTTGCCCGTAGCAAAATATTTGGAACGTAAAAAATTCCGTTTAGAAATGAAAGGCGTTCGTGAGTATATTAACAAGTCTTATGGACATATTCGCCTTGGTTCAAAACTGCGAGTCAATTTGGGTATGTAGTTTATTCTTAGTTGACATAATTTCAATCGAATCCAATGAAGTATTTTTATATTTCATTATAAGTTTGTTTGGGCCAAAAATTATGTAACACCACGAAATATTGGTTTCCCACATAGGAAAGTATATATGGGTCTTCTTAGCTCGCCGAGCTGAGTCGATCTAGCTATGTATGTCCGTCCGTCCGTCTGTCCATCTGTCCATGTTAATTTGTAATCACTCTACAAGTCGCAATTATTGTCCGATCTTCACGAAATTTAGAATGGAGGTGGGGCTATGGTCAGAATAGAACCCTATTTCTTTTGGAGATGATTGCATAATATTTAGGGGTTGAAATGGACCAAAAACTGAAAAAATTCCTGATTTTGCAGTTGCTCTACAGGTCGCAATTAAAGACCAATCAAAGCGGAAGTTAGCATGGGGCTAGAGCTTAGGGCTAGGCAGAAGCCTTCCAATTTTGATGGTCATCGGGTAATATCTAGTGGGTGAAATAGGCCACAACATTTGTGTTAAATAAAAGTCAAATTTTCCATTAAACCGCGAATATTTATAATCTCGGCGAAATCACAAATAGACGAACAGGTCAATTCTGACCGTTACGTATATGCCGATAGTAAATATATCGAATGTATATAGCGAAGTATATACCATGTGTATATACAAAGGAAGGGGATGTTAGTAAGAATGCCTATATCTCAATGATAGCTGGACCGATTTTGACAAATTTTGTCAATTCAGAATGCCCTCTCGACATAAAAGTATAAAATCCAAAAAAAAAAAAAAATCGGAGAAAAATATGTCAATAATCATGTTAATTTAGATTTGGTTGTATTTTGTGAAATTTTTTTATTTTTTCAATTTTTTTATCAAATACGATTTTTTCAATTTGACTTATAATATTTTGTAATATTTTTTCACCTTATAACACAGGTTGGGTATATTATATAAGTATTGCAAATATCGTCCGATCCTCTCGAAAATTTTCACAAGGGTAGGGTTGGGCTCAGAAGGGCTATGCCTATTGTTTTCAAAGATGTCCGCAATATATTAGGGGTTGAAATGGACCAACAACTAAAAAATTTCCTGATTTTGCAGCCGTTATAAAGATTACAAATAAAAACAAAAGGTCCCGAAATCTCGCATAAAGTTAGAGTTTAGGACAGTGGGTACAATGGACCACTACTTTTGTGTGAAAAAATACCAGCATTACTTACAGGCGATATCCGAAATACACAAAAGGAGAACTTCTGTCTTTTGTATGCTGATTTCGTTGACGAATATCGCTCAATATCGCAGACAAGCAAATCATGTAGATGAGTCTAAATCTGGAGATACAGA